TGCAGATTTTGATTTAGTAGCTGGGATGGAGTCTGAGTTTCTTCATTTCTAGCAAGTTCCCAGGTCTACACTCCACTCATTGAGTAATAAGGATCTCCTTATGACGTCTTTATCAGTTCCCTGCCACATTTGTGTTCAGCCTATATCTGGAACTCTCTTAGGACAGAGCCTTTTTCTTTTCATAATAGACTTTATTTTTTAGAGCAATTTTAAGTTCATGGCAATATTGAGCAGAAGGTATGGAGATTTCCCTTATATTCCCTGCCCGGACACCTGCATAGCGTCCCCCATTATCAAGATGACCCACTAGAGTGACACATTTGTTACAGTTGATGAGCCTACATTGACACATCATTACTACCCAAAGTCCATAGTTTACATTAAGGTTTACTCTTAATGTTGAACATTCTATGGGTTTTGACAAATTGCGGTGTCATGCAGAGTAATTTCAATGCCCTAAAATCCTGCATGCTCTGTCTATTCATCTCTCTCTCCCCCTAACCCCTGGCAGCTACTAATCCTTTTACTGTCTCCATGGTTTTGCTCTTTCAAGAATGTCATATAGTTGGAATCACACAGTATGCAGCCTTTGCAGATTGACTTCTTTCATTGTGTCACATGCATTTAAGATTCCTCCATGTCTTTTCATGGCTTCAGAGCTTATTTCTTTTTAGCACCGAATGTAGCACAATTTATCCATTCACCTACTGAAAAACATCTTGGTTGTTTCCAAGGTTCAGCAATTATAAGTAAAGCTGCTGTAAAATATCCGTGTGCAGGTTTCTGTGGGACATAATTTTCAACTACTTTGGGCGAATACTAAGGAGTACGGTTGTTGGATCATATGGTAAGAGTACATTTAGTGTTCTAAGAAACTGCCAAACCGTCTTTCAAAGTGGATGCACCGTTTTTCATTCCCACTGACAATGAACGAGAGTTCTTAATGCGCCACATCCTCATCAGCATTTGGTGTTGTCAGAGTTGCAGATTGTGGCCAACTGAGTAGGTGTGCAGTGGTAGTTCTCTGTTGTCTTAATTTGTATTTCCTTGATGACATGATCTGGAACATCTGTGTCTCTTCTTTGGTGAGAGGTCTGTTAAGGTCTTTGGCCCATTTTTCAAATGAGTTGCTTGTTTCCTCGTAGTTGACTTTTAACCCTTTGCACTCGCTTGCTTTTTTCTCGATTCCTTTATTCTACTCGGGATTTGATGTTTTAAATACCCCAGATTTTACAAAGCGTGGCAGTAGAATACAAAACTGGAGTTTCTTTTCATAGTTAGTTTCTTTTCATATTCATTTGGATTTTTTTATATTTCAAATTATTGATACATTCAAAGAGTAATTTTAATCTCTATAATTTTTGCCAACCGTGTTGAGTCACACTTGACATCCGAGTGCAAATGGTTAAGAGTTCTTTGTATATTTTGGATAATATTCTTTATCAGATGTGTCTTTTGCAAATATTTCCTCTAGTCTGTGGCTTGTCTTTTCATTCTCTCTCTCTCTCTCTCTCTCTCTCTCATTCTTTTAGAGACAGGGTCTCACTCTGTCACCCAGGTTAGCTCACTGCAACCTCAAACTCCTGCATTGTAGTGATCCTCCTGCCTCAGCCTCCCAAGTACCTGGGACTAGAGGGGCATGCCAACATGCCTGGCTAATTTTTCTATTTTCTGTAGAGACAGGGTCTTGTTCTTGCTCAGGCTGGTTTTGAATTCCTGGCCTTAAGTAATCCTTCTGACTCGGCCTCCTAAAGTGGAAGGATTACAGCTGTGAGCCACTGCGCCCGGCCTTCTTTTTGTTTTCTTGACAGTGTTCTTCACAAACAGAAATTTTTGTCTTAATCAAGTACAGCTATCAGTTCTTTCATTCATGGATTGTGACTTCAGTGTTGTATTTAAAAAGTCATTACCAAACTCAAGGTCATCAAGATTGTCTCCTGTATTACCTTCTAGGACTTTTATAGTTTTGTATTTTACATTTCAGTCTATGATCTATTTTGAGTTAATTTTTGTGAAAAATGTAAGGTCTGTGTCTAGATTCTTTTTTATTTTTATTTTTTTGCATGTGGATGATCAGTTGCTCTAGCACCATTTGTTGGCAAAACTACCTTTTCTTCATTGTTCCTCCTTTGTTCCTTTGTCAAAGATCATTTGACTATCTTCACGTGGGTCTATTTCTGAGCTCTCTATTCTGTTCCATTGATTTATTTGTCTACTTCTTCATAAATGTCACTCTGTCTTGATTACTGTAGCTTTATAGTGAGTCTTGACGTCAGGTATTGTCAGTCTTCCAACTTTGTTCTTCTCCTTCAGTATTGTATTAGCTATTCTGAGTCTTTTGCCTCTTCCTATAAACCTTGGAATCAGTTTGTCAATACCCACAAAATAACTTGCTGGGATTTGGATTGACCAGCAACATTTGCTCTGTCGGTTTGGGTCCCTGAGTACCCACGAAGAGCAGAGCACCCCTGCTAACCCAGGAGGAATGTATAGTGTGAGCAAAAAATAACCCTTCATGGTCTTCAGCCAGTAATATTTTATAAGTGCTCATTACTGTCTGCTTCAGAATTCTATCATAGAAATAGAACCAGTGTACCCATCCACACACACACACACACACGGAGTGAAAGAGAAACTGATTTATTGAAAGAAATTCAATAAATTGAATTTACATGGGGCTAGGGGCTGCTAGGCAAGTCGGAAATCCACAGGCCAGCCCACCAGGAAAGGTAGGTTGGAACTCTCAGGGCACAAGCTGATGCTACAGTCCACAGGCGGAATTTCCTTTTTATATTTTAATTTTAATTTTTGATATTATAATTATGAGTTTATATAATACAGGTCTGCATTTTTTTCATTTAGGATAGCACAGCTATCTTTCTATGGTTATATACACATTTGTATTTACTTTCTCCACAGCTGCATAAGGAATTTCTCCTTCAGGGAAGGCTCAGTTCTGCTCTGAAGGCCTTTCGGTTGATTGACACAGGCCCACGCAGATTATCGAGGATAATCTTCCCTACTTAAAAAAATGGATGATAGATTTTAATCATCCAGAAAATGCATTCACAGCAGCACCGGGGTTAGTGTGTTAGTGAATGACTGGCGACAGCAGCCTAGACAGATTGACACATGCAACTCACTGTCACACTATGGCATAAAATAATTAGGCTACCTGAGCTGTATGGACATACAGCAATTCAGCAATGTGTCACTGTAAGCAGAGCTTAGCCAACACATAAGCCAATTTCTTTCAATATATCAGTTTCTCTCTCCCACTGTGGGTGTGTGTGTGTGTGTGTGGATGGGTACACTGGTTCTATTTCTACGATGGAATTCTGAAGCAGACAGTAATGAGCACTCATAAAATCTTAGTGGCTTAAGACCACAAAGGATTATTTTTTGCTGACACTACACATTCCTCCTGGGTTGGCAGGGCTGCTCTGCTCATGGTGGACACTCAAGGACCCAAACTGACAGAGCAAATGTAGCTGGTTGCCATACCGAAGGGAAAAAAGATCACTGGAGGGTCTTACATCAAGTAATTAAATTCTCTGACCAGGAAGTAACACATGTTGCTTCTGCTCACAATAAACGTTCTAGCTCATGCATCCTTTTATATAAGTAACTACAAACTAACTGGCCAAGTGACAAACTCCAAAATACAGAATTTTTCTTTACTTACTTTTGAGACAGAGTCTTGCCCTGTCACCCAGGCTACAGTGTCGTGGCATCAGTATGACTCACAGCAACCTCAAACTCCTGAGCTCAAGCAATCCTGCTGCCTCAGCCTCTCAAGTGGCTGAGACTACAGGCATGCGCCACCATGCCCAGCTATTTTTTTTTTTTTTTTTTTTTAGTAGAGACAGGGACTGGCTCTTGCTCAGGCTGGTCTCAAACTCCTGAGCTCAAGCGATCCTCCCACCTCAGCCTCCTAGAGTGCTAGGATTACAGGAGTGAGCCACCATGCCTGGCCAGAATTCTGTTTTAAACTCATAAAATAAATGGTAGTTTGTGACATTCGTTTTACTTTTGAATGAGTGCCCACAATAGGCTGCACATGAAACACAATATATAACTATAGATCTTCTAATATTACTAATGGCTACCCAAATTGAGTCAAGAGCCACGCCAGGCTAAATGTGTCTCTATTGCACCCCACTTCCTCCCGCCCCGCCATGGCATCTCAAAGACCTATCTTCCTTTGTCAGATCTCTTTGGAGTAGTTTCACTTGTCTTCTACACGTCCCTGTACACTACTCATTTACACCTAATATTCAACATATCATTAGCAACTTCTGCATTTAAGTCAATCATTAGAATATATATTTTTAAACATTTCTCTAAGTTTGTAACACATTTGCCCCTACTTAACTCAGCGTGTGTTCTATTCTCGTTTTCCTCATATAGGAAAATAATAGGTCTGGGCTTCAAAAGTTCTAGTTTCTCTTCTGGCTCTAATAATCTCTGTGTCTATCATGTAGTCATTTCCCAAATGTTTGTTTTTTTTTATTCCCATGCTCAATGTTCCTAATTCATCTTTATGAGTCTAAGAGATTTAATTACTATCAGTGTGATATTTGACATTTATAGAGTGGATCCAAGTGTTTTTCCACGGAGATACCCAACGTGGGTCCACGTCTAACGTGAACAGGGTATACCACAGTGTTTCTTTTCCTTCCTCTTTTTCTTCCAAGCTACTTAGAAACTGGGATAGCTTTCACTTTATTAAGAGTGTTAGGTCAGCCCCACCAGATTGCAAAGAACGAATACACAGTCAGGTTATCTCAGTTAGGGTGAGTTTATTTATGTCAATACATGAGAAAGTAAGGAAGAAAAGAAAGCAACCCATTAACTACAAAGTCCAGACTCATTGTCCAGGAACCAATCATTTCTCCAGTAACCTGGGAGCAGAAATGGTGAATCAACAAGAACTCTAGTTGTCTTGACTGCAGAATAATTGCCATTACTGCTCTGTGTGGCACCCTATGGTGACTGTGTCTATTTCGCCTGCTCTCACGGCTACTCATCTACTTTCTAAGTCTTATATTCAGACTCCCTAAAGGAGGGCTCCAGCTGGCTGGACCAGGTACCAGCAAACAGGAACACCCCTGCTGGGTACACCATCTTCCCTAAGGCCACCTCCTGGCCTGTAAATGAGTTTCTTTGGGTCAGGTACTAAACCTTTATAAAATCAGCTGTGTCAGGTGTAGAGAACTCACATGACAGAAAACATGGTTTTGCTCCTGCTGCAGCTATGGGTGTGATCTCTCCAGGACACCAGGAAGGCTAGAGACCCACCCATGAAATATGGATAACAACATGTAGCTTTATCCATGGAGATAAGACAGCTTTGTTTGCTCAGTGACACTTTCCCATGGATGGTTTCAAAGTGCTCTATCGGTATCATAACCTCCATGAAACTATGGTGCCGCCTTCTTCTTATCACCTTTTTTTTGGAAAGTTGCCTTTCATAACATGCACTGTCTAAAGAAGCAGCCAATCTCCACTTTTAAGTAAATATAGCGAAATTGTAGATTAAGCTCTCATTCACATGAATGTTGTTTAGACCATATTTTCAGAGTTGTCTTTTCTTCAGTGAAGATTAATGATTAATGATGATTCTTATCACCCACTTATATAGAAAAGTCACATATAATTTCAACATTTTTAATGCTGGAAATTGAGGTCATATTTCCAAGATGGCTGTGCATTTATGGGGAACACTCCAAATTAGAAATCAGGTTTGTCTGTGTTTGTGTCTTCCAAGGAGCTCAAAATGTCTCAACTCTTTTTTCAGAATTTTCCACCTATGGGAAACAGTAGAGTCTGTAAAAGAATTAATAATTTTTTGAAATGTCTGAGGCCAAACAGAATGGGTTTGAGAACTGACTATTCATTTTGCAAAAGGAGAACTTGTCCCCTTACTAATTTTTCTCTCATACAAGATAAAAATAAATCACAAATAATCTTCACCCTTGCTATGATTTAATTGGTTCTTTGCATGATTGTCGCTCATCAAACTCCTTAGCCCAATTAAAAAACAACTAAACATAAAATTGTAGGATTCAAAACTGCCGATCAAATCAAATTATTATTGACTATTGCAGATTCAGAAAGTCAGCTTTACTAAGCTTTTGCTAAACTCTCCAATGACAACTTTAAAAAGTGTATGCCTCCTCAAAGATTTCTTCTTCATAAAGAGGTGCCCATCTTACGCACATGCTTGCATATTCTCTGAGAGACAAGACTTTGCCTCGAATCCACATTACTTTGGTGAATCAACCAAATTTTATCCTGTGTGGGTCTTGTAACAGGCGCTGTACTAAACACTCCAGCTTGTTTAGCTTGAGCCGGTCATCAACTTCCGAGTGGCCACACAGGAAGGAAATTCGTGCATTTGGAAGAGTTGCTTTAGACGGCTGTTTAAGGAATGCTCTAAACCTGAGATTCAACATGGGTTTGTGGAGAAGAGACCACCTGTATTTGATAATGGATTTAGCTATAGAATTTATTAAGCACACTGGGTAAGTACTAGAGGCAGCTGACCTGGTCTCCACAAACACCTTTTTTGTCACCGGGCCAGGGTGTAGAGTGGGGTCTCTACAATTATTTCTTGTTTCACTAAAATATGGCCACTTATTTACTCAAAATCAGCATATACTGGAAAGAAATATTTTTAATAGAGAGATAGGAATAGTTCTTCAAAGATGCCTCCTTGTGTGACTATACAAAGCAGTGGGTCTGTAGCCCATTGGGCCAGTGGCGTTCACCTTCTCTGTCGCTTATCATAGCACAGCTTGGGTACTGATGAGACACTGGTTTGTTTCTGAAATCTAGTTGGAGAGAAAAAGAAATGCCTCATCTCACCGTGTGAAAAAGCCAGGTGATATTTACTTCTGAAAAAATTGAGCATTTGGTTATAGGAAAAGTTTGAGAATTTTAATGATTTCCCCAAATTCAGCCCTTTATCACACCAATTTATTTAGGGATCTTAAAGTTAATAATATAGATAATGTCCAGGTACAAGTTTATCCTATTTACATAAAGGAATATTAAAATTTCAAGATATCCTTTGTAACAGAATTAGAAGTTTAGTAGTTGAACATACCAAAAGAAAATGCGTAATAGCCCATTAAATCTCACATTTCTTTTTGTAAAATTCCCAAAAGAAACATAAGTGATCAGTGAACTCTTAGAACTCTGTAAGCACAAGATTGCTAATGGGTCAAAAATAAGAAAATTCGGTTTTTACAATTTCAAAAAACTTGTGAAGAATTCTTATCTAATCACCATAAAAAGCAATATTTTCATAATTCAGCCAAATATGGGAATTCTCTCAAATGGGAAAGATAGGCTATGAACTGGGGATGACTTAAGGGCTATTAAAAAACTTCCACCAATTTAAGTCAATAAAGTAAAAATGGTAAGCGGTTATTTTGTAAACGACATATAGAAGGAAAAGGAAAGATGCTAATTCATACCAAATTAGAAAATGTTGAATATGGATTAATTTATCCAATTTACCTTGGGCCAAATGGAAGTTTTAGTAATCTTTCCTTTAAAAGACTTATAATAAAGTGCACAAGTTTACTGGGAAGAAGTACAGGGAAAAAAAAAAAGAATGAAAGATTCATTCACAATATCTGGGGCTGTTTATAAGGGACTTAATTTGAATAATCAACAACAAAGTATCTTTCATTATAAGAGATGGAGATGACGGTTTACTGAAAATAATGGCAGCTTTTTACATTCCTTAAACATTGAAAATCATGGAATGAATTTTGGACAGAGAAACACACACCAATGGTCATACATATGGGAAAAAAGGGGCAGATTTAGGATAGAATTCTTGAGACAGATGGATCCTGGATCTGATCTTATCAAGAAATTCTTATAGTTTTCCCCCTACCCCAGAATTTAGTTCACTAAAAGTTTCTAAAAACAAACAAAAAACTCAGAATGAAGTAAAGTCACTTGAGAATATGGGAAATGAGGTTCTGTCAGTCCTAGGTTCATTGAGGCACTTTTAGCAAACCAGTAACTGCATTAACAAAACATTTTTCAAAGGGTATGATCAACTGAAAATGTGATCAGACCCATCTCACTAAAAGCAGAATCAGACATGAGACTAAGAACAGACACAGCCCAAATGGTAAAAGTGATGCCCACAGTGAGATGCAAAAGTCCTTCCACAGATACTGTGTTTCTTTAACTTAGTTTGCTTTGATTTTTTTAAAGACACTAGTTTTCATTCTACGTCCCACAGGACCTTGGAAGTCTGTGAAGCATCTCTTTACCAGGTTCTTTAAAGTCAATGGGGACATGTTCAATGTGCCTTGCTTCTCCCATTTTCAGGTACCCAAAGCGTGGCATTTACAGAGCATTGATAGAATCTCAGGATGCTCCACTTCCTTTCCAAAGGTTTTATAAGCTGTGATTCAATTATCTGATAGACCAGTGGCCAGTGACAACGCAGTGGAGGCCAAGAGGATTGACATTTGACAGCGTGCGTCGCTGCTGTGATTTGGGGGTGACAAGTGGTGTGTCTGGGGAAGAGAGCAGGCTGTATAAAAACGGTTGATGCTCGCATGCAAGTTTTCAACTGGGTGGGCCCATCAGAAGGTCATCCTGGACTCCACAGGAAGCAGAATTGTTCTCATAATCACTGTTTAAAACCAACACTTGACAATGACGAAGGCACTAGGGGTTACTGTTAGCAGCACAGAAATCCAAAATATAGCCTCAAATTGTGTTTGTTTTCCTTTTTTGCCTCTTGGGAAATAATCCCTGCAATGTTTATGGGTAAAATACATGGAGGCTAGTAGTCATCCCCCTCCTAGAATTTCTAGCATGGATATCTATCAAATTAAAGTGTTGTTATTTTTTGTTCTTTTCCTCTTAAAAAAATAATTCCTGGGTTATTTGGGGATGGAAGAATGCAAGTTGGTAGTATGTTTAGCATAGACACAAAGTCTAAAAGAGAAGGCCACCTTTAGAGAAGTACAGAAAATGTCCAAATGAAAGAGAAAGCTCTGCAGAATGAAATGTTCTCTTAGGGAATGGACTCGTTTATGACACTCTCTGCACAGGGGTCATTTTCCTGGCTGCCACAGAAGGACAGTGTTGCCTCACGGAGCCAACACTGCTGCCCAGGCTGCCCTGACCAGGTGACTTTCTGTGTCCAGCACAGCAGTGCTTGGCAGAAAACCCTGGGACCCAGCTCCTGGTGCTACCATTTTGATGGGGCTCAGAAGGAAGTGACAATGATGGCCATTCCATAAAGGATGACATTCTCTTTTCCTACCACAAAGACAGTGACAGTGCCAAAGACATGCCAAAGACAGTGACATGCTAAAGACAGTGACAGTGAAGAGGCCCCAATTACACCAAGCCTACCCATGGCTATGGAGAAATACTTCTGGAGACAACTTGAGAACTAACAAGGACACAAACATTTTTTCTCTTTTAAGATGTTCTCTGCAAACCCAACCCAGGTGTCTTTCATTTGTCCAGGGGTGACCTTAGTAGGTGTGTTGGTCTTCATCCCTATTCTTTCTTTCATTCTTTAATTGTTTACTGAAATAAGTGGCAGGATAAGTCCCAACTCAAACAAGGATTGGTTATATAGTAAATATTTAGTCTTATAGGTTGGCTGTTATTGATAAAGAATTTCACTGAGAATCCCCCAATCCATCATAACATACTATCCTTAAAAACACAGCTCCCTTCCCGCTCTCTTGATGGAATTGTGAAATATCCAGTGAGGCAGTACTTGGAAACAACAAGAAAGGAAGTTATGTGATCACTAGCTGATCAACCATAGCCATTCTACATTAAGTACATCCATTGAATAAGATTCACAGGTCCCTCCATCATTTTTTCTGGCAAATTAGAAATCAAGTCTCCAGAAATGAAAAAGAATAATTGAGGTTGTCTTTAAAAACACATGTATATTCTGGTCCTACAGAATGAGCCCTAGCACAGTGTCTAGCTTTGTGTTGATGTTATTTATGACAAAGTGACCCAACAAAATGCTCTACTGCAATGCTGATCATCCAATCTTCACCAGGGTCTCCCTGCTGTGTTCTTCTCGTCTGCATTTGCAACCAGAAACTGGATTTGTTTTCTCTTCTGGGTTCTCAGGGGGGAACCTGGTACTGATTCTATCAGGATACCACAAAGATTATTTCAAGAAAAAGATTATACATTAGAATGCTTAGCATTTATATAGATTCTTTTGATTTCAAAACAAGTTATAAATATTTCCTACCGTGACAACATTCTTACGAGGTAGGTAAGGATTACTGTCTACATTACCAAGAGAAGCCCAGGGCCAAGGAGTGAAGAACTCTGTTCTGAGCCATAGAGTCAGGAACAACATTGGAACCAGCATCCTGGCCACCTGCTCTGGGCTCTGAAGAGCCCATGCCTCTCGCTAGTGTAGCGACAGTCTCCATTAGTATAGGATTATATATTGTTATAGATACAAAACAACACACAATGACATTATAGAACGATAATTCAATATTTCTTTTTCTTAGTAAAATATGTTAAGCACAGTATTTAAATTGCATTTCTCTGAAAAGCATTTGGTATATTAAATAGCAGAAGGTATATTAAACAGCTCTATAAACGTTTGCTGGCCTACTCTTAACAGCACAATGATTCTAAAGAAATTAAAATCCACTGACACATAGAGATCTTTATAATACCGTAAACTAAACCAAAATGTGAAAAACTACTTTATTCTCAAAATGCAGACTTAATAGCTTGCTGGATATTAGCAGGTGGCTACATAATTTCTCTGAGTTTGAGAAAAGGATACATATTGCTGACTGTGATTTAAAAATACCAGTTCGGCAGGGGAAAAGATGCAGTTGAAAGGTGAAAATTAAAGACTGCTATTTCCATTTTGTATCCATTTTGAGAAATTCATACCTTTTCAAAAGATGTTACCATACTTAGAGCTAATGTCGAGGTGAATATAGGCACGCTATATAACAGGAACATTTTGTGAGAAGAGAAAATGATACTAAATAAATTCTATGGTATTAGAAGAAAATGAACAAGTTGACAAGAGAAAAGGATATTTTTCAAGAGGGTTAAGGGCGGGCATGAGATGTAAGCTGTTCATGCTTTGATGACTGTATAGGGCTTGGAGATAGTTTAAAAGGATAAATACTTGGTTTGTCAGTCTCTTCTCCAAGGCAAAACCCCTACCTTCCCTCTAAATCAGTTCTCAGAATGGAGTCGAAGAGCTCACCTCATGCTAAGCTTCCCAGGAACTGACCAGTTGGGGTCAGCAGAAAAAGTTCTAAAACTAGAAAAGAACAGGAATCAAAGTCTTAAAATTTGTATGCAAACGTAAAAACTAACTTCTAAGCCAGAATGACATTCTCCGTCAGAAGTAACAAATACAAAAGTCTTACTTTTTAGTGTACAGGACGCTAAGATAGTGTTAGATAGATATTATGTGTCGTTCGGAGAATATTTTTATAAGTGTGCTTTTTTTTCCTAAAAAAAGACATATTAAATTGGTTTTCTCTCCTCAAGTCCTTTATATATAAATATGAAATATGGAGCTGTCCCGCGAGTCTGTTCGCTCACGTTATACACTCCGGGGCTCCTTCCCGCTTGCATTGGCTGTGGCAGTTTTGTCGGAGAGGGGTCTGGGTTTGGACAGGCTTGAGCAGTTCGGCTGTTTGGTTGGCTGTAAGGTTCTGGCGTAAGGTGAGTACCAGTCTCTTTCAAACACATCTTTCAGTTGCTTAATGATGCTTCTGTTGTTCCTCACATCTGCCTGGTTGATAACGAGGCCGGTGCCAGCGTTCTGGGTAAAATCATTCCCCACCCAATCAAAGTTCCCTGGGAACAAACAAAGAAATAAAGGTGAGGCATTAGGGTCCACCGGGAATATTCCCAATAAAATGAAATACAGAGAAGATTTTATTAAAAAAATTATAAGCGCCCAAGAGTAACAGCAGAGAGGCAGAATTGTGTCGACAGCTCAAAAAAAGGAAAGAAGAAAAAAAGAAAAAGAAAACCTTCCAGGAAGCCTTGCATATGGCATATTAATATTTGCATATTATTTTGGCATTTTCTTCAGCTTTGCTCAAGTTGAAACTCAAAACAAGGAATCTGCTGTTCTCTTTTGTAAATGTTATTCCTTATTGACATTCACAAGGCACACTAAATACAGCAACATTTAAAACATATAGGAATACACTTAAAAACCCTGTGAACAATTACTACCTTCTCAAAGAGACAACATCTAATCCATATGTACAAATGAAGGATTCTAATTTTAAAGACGTGAAGCTTTCAAAGAAAAAGCTGAAGCCAGAGGAGGAGAACCAGTTCCTGAATGGGTACCTAAACTCTCCCTGATCCGACCGTAAACCATTTCTCAGTCCCAGGGCCGGGCTCCTCGGCTCAGGAATCAGGGCGGCTTCTGTGAGAACAGGCTTTCAAACATGGCTGCCTGGGGGCGGGTAGTATATTCATTTTCTAGAGCTGCTGTAACAAAGTGCCACAGACTCAGCGGCTGAAATGACAGAATTTTATTGTCTCACAGTTCTGGAGACAAAATCAACGTGTCCGGAGGATTTGTTCCTTCTGAGGACTGTGAGGGAAGGCTCTGTTCTGGGCCTCCCTCCTTGGTTTGTAGGTGGCCATTTTTTCCCAATGTCTTTTCACATTGTCTTCCCTTTATGCATGTCTGTGTCCAAATTTCCTTTTGTTATAAGGACATCAGTCATATTCAGTTAGGGCCTACCCATATCAACTCTTTTTAACTTGATTATCTCTGTCAAGACTCTAATCTCCAAAGAAGGTCACATTCTGAGGTACTGGGGTTAGGACTTGAACGTAGGAATTTTGGAGGGACACAGTGCAGTCATATCAAGTAGTAAGGCTGGGAACAGCCCTAGAAGAGGCCAATAATGTCTATGCCACCCACTCTGGTGTAGTCCATCATCAAGGTGAGAGTAGATAAAAGGGCTAGACTACCCCAAACTCCCACATGAATCTCTTGTCTTTGGTATCCAATAGGGAGATGGTTCCAGCAGGAGAACAAAGGTTTTCCTCAGGAGGATACAGTACCATTTATGTGTTTGTTCTTCTTTACCCTTCACTTAATGCATATTTATTGAGTGCCTACTGTTTGCCAGGTATTACATTAGGGGCTGTGAAAATGAAAGTCCCTGCCTTCAAGGGGTCCAGGAGGGAAACACAGTAATTATAATACAAAGTGTATGAGATTCTACAAGAGAGGTAGGTATACAATGCCATGAGGGCTGGAGAGAAGGAATTTTTAATTCTGGCTACAGGTGTCAGAAAAGGAGCATTTCGTTGAGTAATGAGAGAGGCATAGAAGCTTAATTAAGAAAAGGGAGAGCCATACCCCAAATGGAAGACGGCATCTTGGGGACAAAAGATATACTTAGGATATTAAAACATGAAGGGGAGGAGCTATGGGTGAGGTCCAAATATAAGTGCCTTTGGGGAGGGAGAAATTATCATTTATTAAGTGCCCACTATTAGCAAAGCATGATACTTGGTATTTATATATATTATTTCATATGGTAAGATTTACCTCCACTTTGTAGATGAGGAGTGAGAACCTTAAAGAGGAATAAACTTGCCCAATGTCACATGGCTAATCAATGGTGCAGCCAGTTCCACCAGACTATCATAAATCAAGAATTATTCTCACCAAAAAAATATTCAGTCCCAATCAGGCCTGACAATATTATTTTACAGATTACTACCAGCTCAGGTATGGTCTGAGCTCCCGGTTCTGCTCTCCTCTTAGGTTAAGAGCTACTTCCATAAGGGGAACTGTGGGGTTTTTAAGTGTAGAGCTTGACTTTCTATTCCCTCATCAGCAAGTCGGGTATCTCTGTGGAAATATTTGCTGAATGAGACCCTGAGACCATCCGTCCTTGCGCATTCTCGGCCCAAAGCTCTGTAGCCATCTGTGGGAGAAGGTGCTGGAAGAAGGCACATCCGCAGAGAGAGCCTGTATCTGATCCTTTACGGCTTTCACCCCTCCGTCTCTGCCCTGCTCTCTGGAGCCCCCAAACTTGTTAACTCTGTTTCCCACATTGCACCCCCTGGAATATTGGAAGGCAGTTCCTTTGTCTCTCATTTTACTCCTTAAGTTTATTCCTCACAGTTTAAAAATACCAAGTCCCTAAATCAAATATTGCAAGCATAGAGAAGGATCTTCCTTCTCTCTTTTTTGCTCTCTCTCCTCTAAGACTTTCATATATCTTAATCTCTGCATGAGACATCGTTCTCCCCCCGGCGCCGTGAGGACCGACCAGGCTTTCCACCCTGATTCTCACTGGGAAGGAGGATGATCCACCAGGAGCCTTTTCAGTGACTTCAGTAAACTCGGCACCTCCTCGTCAGCTCTCCACTGATCCAAACCATCTTCTAGACAAGTCTGCGCAGCTCAGGAGATTTTAAAATTAAAGAGATGACATGGTTTGGAGATTCCTCTGTAAGTCTTGTGAAAACGTAGAACGGAGCTATAATTCCATGCAAGGTCTAGTGTGGATTTTTCTTAATTCTGTATTCTCAGTGTGTGTCTGAGTGATGATTTAGGAGATTTCCAGAACATGCTGCTAATTATTTAAATTATCAATGAATTTTCTCTGTTGAATTTTTTTTTTTTTTTTTAGACAGCCACAGAAACTGTGATTTCTTGATATTCTTTGAATATTTTTACACCAGAACTATGTTTCAGTTTAGGGAGTTAATGTTTTGCTAAAATGGGGGGGGCATGGGCAATATATGTAACCTTAACATTTGTACCCCCATAATATGCTGAAATAAAAACAATAAAAATAAAAGGAACTCATTTAAAATGTACTATATATGGAAGAAGAAGGGAAAGGGCAAGGAATCAATATTTATTAAGGATATAGATAGATCAGTGACAGTATTAAGAGCTTTTCATAGATTATCTTGTTTAATCCTCATATCACCATCAAAGGGCAGGTTCTATTATCTTCATTTTACAGATAAGAAAACAGAGGGTTATAGAAATTATATGATGTTCTACCACTTCCCAGTTTGTAAGTGCTATGATAGGTTTGCCTGACTCCAAAACACTTACTCAGTTCATCAAAAGAACATTTGGATAAATGTACAAGTCACTGCTGGGTGTGCACGCAACACCTTACTTTAAGTAAACCCTCCAAGTAAAACACCCAGATTTGAGTCCCTAAATCCTGCTGTGCCTGAAACCTGAGTCATCCCTGGGTTTCCCAATAATTGAGCCAAAATTTCCCAATTTTTTATTAAACGATTTTAAGGCATTTTTTTTTCTTCATCACTTTAGAAAAAAGCTGATTTCATTACACTCTCTATAAGTTGATGAACATGAGAAAATCCAAATAGTCATATCTTGGGTCACAGAGAGGGACTACAGGAATAAATAATATTCTCATATTCCAGAACAACCAGAATTAAAAACATTTAAAAATATCCCAATTTTTTATTCTAACCATGTGACGGTATAAACTATTAAAAGTGGAAAAAGGCACAACGCCTTCACACTGAGCCAGGAGTTAGTGACTGTCCACGTGGCCAATGGCAGGATCTGTGGCCAACGGCTGCGGGGGATGAGATGACCTGGCGGGTGCCCTGGGTTCCAGATCCAGCTCCTTCGCCTTACAACATCTGCACGTCTCAGTCACAGGGACCAAGATTCCTTATTTCCAAACTGCAGATGATTAAAGCTACCCTCCCTACTGGCAATGTTGCTAGGAGAAACAAACAAGATCAAGCACATGCTTTACAAAGCTAAGGGGGTATGCTTTTTACTCGCTGAATTTGGAAAGAAGGAATTGATACACATTCCACATTCCTGCATTCCACAAACATGTGAAGGAGCTTAGGAAATTTCACCCCGAAATATGACTCCTTGGTATGAAGAGTATTTTGAAATAAAGGCCCTCAGAGATCAACAGGCCTTGGAAGGGGCTTCCCCTCTATCTGCATAAACCAGACACACCCATCAAAAGAACAACTGACTTCCCTTCCCCTTCCTGTTATCTCAAAATATTGCAGGAAAAAAGGTCAGGAATGCAACCAGACCTGGCCCAAATCATTTTAGCCATAATACCTGTCTCTCAGGTTAATTTACAAGTCAATCTGTTTTCCCCCATTCATTCATTCTCCAAAGTACTTATTTATCCTTCCTCCCTAGTAACCATTTATTGCCCAAACAGAATTACCTATATTCCTCATCTCTCATACCCTCTAGAAGGAGGGCTTAAAAATATCCGGATCCCACTGGGATACTGGCTAATCACTCTATGATTCTCTAAGTGTGGGCAGAGTAAATAAACCTCTTCCTCTTATTTAATCTGCCTTAATTATGAGTTGATCTTAACTTTTCAGGGAAAGGGGAAACTTTCACCCCCACATGTTTTTCTGTTCAGCCTTGAGACTGCCACTTCATCTGCACAATGTAATAACCACACTACTATTTTTGGATTTGTCTTCTTTTTATAGGCAATTTCAACTCTGTCTGTGATGGTACCATTTAAAAGGTTACCCTGGACTCATAGACATCATGAAAAATTAGAATAGATTTGATATGCTAGTAAGTAATTCCACCAGTATATAGTGATTTCAGCATCTGGTGTTCTAGTGCCTTCATAATAACAGCTAACATTAATTGGGTATTATCCATGTGCCAGGTGCTTTGCATATACTATTCCATTTAAACTTTACCCTATAAAGTAGAAACTGTTATTAGCCCTATTTTACGGATGACAAAAATGAGGTTTAGAGAGCTCAAGGAAATTGTCCAAAGTTGGACATTTGGGAGATGGCAGGGAAGGGACAACTGACCAGGCAGTGGGAGTTTTGGCACTCAACAACTCTATGTCCGCCTCGCCATTACCAGCGTCAGGTTGGCTTGAGTTGCTTTGGGCAGGGCAATGAGCGCTGTGCTCGTTCCAGTGCCAGGACGCACCTTTGATGAGCCATTTACCTCCTTACCTATACAATGAGGCAAAGAAGAAGTTCTGCAAAACATGTATGAGAAGACATCTTATATGGTCTCCTAGTACATGAAGCAGGCCATAGAGGAAATGTTTGGTTAAAGAGCTCTTTGACCTCACTCTCCTGTGTCGTGACTTCCAGGTCCCCCCATATTCCAGCAGTGGCTCCCGAGGCCCTGCTTCCTCGCCAGGGGCACTGCAGAGCACAGCTGGACCACCACTGCCCGTGTGATCCCTAAGGAGCCTCACAGCCCTGACACCTACCAATGTAAGCTGCTCCATCTGTCACCATGTACTTGTTGCGATTCAATTTAGGAAAGTCATGATTCTTTTGTTCTTTTGTGGCACAAGCATTCTCTCTTTCCAGATCAAAAAATTTCTGTAAGACAAAAAAAAAAAAAAAAGGAAACAAACAAAAAAAAAGCAGGTGAATAGAGAACGTTTTTGGTCTTGTTCAAGAGCATGAAAGAGCGTATTATCCAAATATCAACAATAGACCTCATATTGAGTTATTAAAACCACAATCTTGTTGCTTCGTATAGATGAAGCTATTTTTGTTCTCAAATCTATATAGGCAACAAGAGAGAAAATTAGTGTGCTCCACTAGGTCTATAATTAACACTTTTAAGCTTCAAAATGAACACAAAATTCATTCTTCCACCAGGGTGAGGGCCAGAAGGTTGTTTAATTTCATTGTCTTATTCATCAGGGTGCACTGGCATTTGAAGCATGCCTCAGGGAGCTTTCTGTCAAGCATGCCAATGAACTAAATGAATATTCTTAAATGTTGCATACATTATGTCAATGACTAGCTGATTAAACTAGGGATTTGCAAAGGTCAAAACAGATTTTGCCACAGCAACAAACACTTTCATCTAAACACCTAGGTCTACAAGCACTTTTAGAAAGCGACTTAAAAAAAAAAAATCACAACTTTGATCCATGAATCCTGAATTTCAACCTCAATGTGACTCAAAAAGCGACATTCCAGTTCACCCAAAGGCAGGGATGGGGGGCTGACCACAGGGGTGGCGGGCCTGTGTCTCAGGGCTCTGCTGGATTTGCTGAGTGCTTAGTGAGGCTCAAGCTGCGGCTGAGCTCATAGGACGCCACGACCGGGTTCCTAGGAAGGCGTCAAAGATGAAGGTCCCAGGTGTCTTCCGCATTAGAAAATGCCAAGCATTTTCAGAACCTCGTGGACTCTTTCTAGAGTGGCTTACAACTGTGAAATCCCATGTGTTTAAAGGAAAGAAGAGGCAGAAAGAAAAATGGGATGGTATCTAGAAAAGGAAACACCATTTATAGTTCTAAAACTACAAGTGTTCAAATTTGGTTTGGGGAAATAATGAGAGTTGGTCTTCCTCTTGCCCCCAGAGTGGGTGAGAGGTAACAAACAAGGCGATCACTGCTGTGCGCCCTTCCAGCCCCAAGAATTCTATTCTGATTCTTTCTTTTCTTTTTTTTTTTTTGTAAAATTCTTGAGATCCGTGGTACAGAGACCAAAATCTACTACCCAAGAACTACCTATTCCACAATACAAAGGAGCATTCTCCTAGGGTCCTATCACCCAAATTAGAGGCAATGCTACCTGGTTCAAGTTTCCTTAGTTCCTGTCTTCTGTAAAATCTGCCTCAGTTGGTGGACTCTTCAAACTGACTTAATAACCTGAGAATGCCCTTAAGTCACAGTTACATATTCATGAGGTCTCGTGAGTGTTGAGGGTGTGATCGCTCAGTTACAGCCAGCTCTCAGTCAGCTCTCTTGGACTTCCCATCACAGCACATGTCCCCCCATTTGACCGTTTCCTTTTCAGAAAGATACTATTGTAGAATCAAGGGGGATGTAAAAAAAGATAAAATATACATCCTAAGTTAAGTCAAGGATGGAGTCACAGCTTGAGGCTTTAGTAAGAACCCATTTGCTCTAGAAAATCAAAGATGTCCCTAAGGAAGAGGGGAACAGCTTTCTCTGGGAGGCTAAAATGACAGCAGAAATCAGAGTTTATTCACTGGCATTACTAGACACCTAAGATGCTACAGGTGACAGCAAAGACATTCTAAAAGTGTTCATTTATTAAAAATAATAAAAACTCAGCCAACTGGGACAATCTCGTGAGTTGCAGAATCTTCCTATGAGTCCTTCATGGCTATAACCCTCATCAGGGCTGGAGCTAAGGGTGCCCAGTCCTCTAAGGACAGAGTTTCCCTGCCTGGTTCCCAGGCGATCTGCTTTATAAGTGCTCTGAGGCTCCCGAAGACATGCTCTGTGCAAATTTCAAACGCCCACTTTCCTTGGAAAAGCTTGTGCACGGCCTCTATTTTATAAAGTGGCCAGCAGTAAGCTATTCGTGTTTGGTGTATTTAAGAAAGGTGACCATCTGTGTTCAAAAGGAGGAAGCTGATTAAGTACCGTAAAGTTTAAAATGATGGATTCTATTTTCCTTGTAATTTTTTTTTGCAAGTCTCAAATGAGCACTTAACATTTCACACCCTGGAGGTTTCAACTCCAGGTGCCTTAGCGGCAGGTGTGCTGTGAGGTCAGGAAGCCGTGGGTGGATGGGGACCCCTGATTGGGCTGAGGGGCAGTCGAGAGAGGGGATAGGAGCAAACCCACCACACAACGTGCCAAAGGCCCCAGGCTCTCCTCTTTGCTCCTGCTAGCCACTGCAAACCCGACAGTGGCTCGCTCCTCTGACTGCAGGTCACTCACCTCCCGAGAACACGACTTCCCTGGGCAGCTTCTCCATCCCGCGGCCACCTTCCCCCAGCGCACACCTCCAGAAAGCAGCTAACTGCGCCTGGACTTGGGCGATTGTTCTCACTGGCTTACAGAACCTTTTTCTACCTCTCTGCCTTTGCTGGCTCCCTTGTTTGACTTCCTTCATCACCTATGTTTGGAACACTTTGTGCCTAGCATCCTGCTAGGTGCTGGGAATACGAGGGTGAACTGGACACCTGTTCTTCACCTTCCTTGATTTTCCCTGCAGCCCCGTATGCCACTTCGGTTACCTGGAACATGCCACCTGAGCTGGAACCGTCCCGAGCATTCTCGTGTCTGAGGAAAGGGAATGAACACAATCGGACTTACTCTCCTGTGTTTCACCTGACTTCCCGGGACGGTACCAGCTGCTCCTCTGATCCCGGATCTCTGACTCCGAATCCAGATGGGTGCCCTGGTCCAAGTCCTTTAATAATTCAAGGCTTAAAACAAGCTTGGGTCCTTGGTTCGAAGAACCAGCAGGAGTATGAGGACCTTATCGTATCCACCCAGGATTTTATAATCGCTGTGCAGCAGGGTCTGCTGTGGGCCTCCCAACGTGCTCCTCTCTGACGCGGTTTTCTCGTGCTTACTCACTCTGTCCCTGTCGTGTGGGAGGAGGCAGCCATAACCTGGGTTTGGGGTTTTTGAGGGTTGTCACTGTTTTGAGTTTTTACATCACTGAACTCTGAGGTGCTACGTCCAGACTTGATGTCGAGAACTTAAACTTGGAGCTGCGCAGTGAATGAATGAAACTTTGCGTTTTCTCCCTTATTGGGGACAGGGGGACAGGGTGAGGGCTCTTTATGTGGAAAGAGAACAAAATGGGTAGTGGGTTCCTAGAACTCCACACCATGATGATCCACAGACTTGTTCCTCTGTCCCCTGGGAGCAAAGCCGCCTCCGAGGCCACACTCACTACCCTCCCTTGGTGCCAGGCGTGGCCACGTGAGTGACGCTGGGTCAGTGTGATGGAAGCTAAAGAGATCTTCACCGCCTCCAGGCCCAAGCCCTGAACGCCCCCTGCACAGTCATCTAAGCTCTCTCTTCTGTTCAGCCTGGGGATACCAAGGGTCAGAGCAATCTTGGAAACCAAGTTGATTGCAGAGTCCCCGACACCCTGAGTCCCTGAATACTGCAGGGAGCACAGCTTCATCACCCCCTAGAAGGAGGCCTGCCACAGAGTCGGTTCTCAGTGCACATTTGTTGGGTGACTGCATAGGCATTTGAAGAAGGCTGAGACCTAAAGGATCAGTGGTCATTAGTCGGGAGAAGCAGGGAGAAGAAGAGTGTTGTCGGCAGAGAGAACAGCATGTACAAAGCCCCTGAGGGGAGGAAGAGGGTGATGAGGACTGGATAAAGGTTGAAGATGAGCTAGCCTAGAGAATAAGCACATTTGGGGTATTACCAATTCCCAGTCTGGACTCCCACAAGGTATTCAGAGATGGATTAGCATGTGGTCCTAGAGACCTGGGGCAGGTGCAGGAACCCAGGCTAGGGGGATTTAGGGCTGACAGAGTCAGTTGGTGCATGTCCCAGTGCTCTGTTGGTCACAGTCTTACAAATAAGAGTAGCAGGGGAATGAGGCAAGTCAAACATATGTGCATTATTTCAGGACAGGAAAAGAGGGAAAAAAAGCAATTCAAACAAAACAGAGAGGATGCAACAGAAAGCATGTGCAAAAAGGGCTAGACTGAGAAGGCATCAAGACACTGGGGTCCTACTCTCCCTTTCTGTGTGTGATTGTTTTTAAAAATGACTTAACCTACCTTTTGAAGTATTTTTCACACTCAAAGATTGTTATTCTGGTTCTCATTGCACGTTTATGCACATGCATATGCTGATAGCTTTCATGGACATGCAAAGGGAAAACATTTTTTATTTAATAAATAACACAGTTAATCTACTTACAACTTTCAAACTGCAGTTGGCTATTTCAGTGCAAATAGCTTTGAGAGATGAAATAAAGTTAAATGTGAGGGGATCAGTTTCCTTCCAGAAGCTTATAAGGAGTCGAACTTTAACACTTCGCAAAACTAATGCTTCTCTTATTTTCCCGTCCAAGTCTGGCCAGTAAGTCCTGTAGAAATTATATCCATATAGGTCAAAATAAACAAACTAAGTTAGTTATAGAAAAGAAATTTAGATGACTGAGAACATTTATATTACTCTGATCATTATTCCATAATATATAAATAGCCTTGTAGCACAAGCTGGAAAAAATGGAAGCCTTCTGGGTTAGGCAGCAAGAAATGATGCTTTACTGGGACCTTCCCCTGCCTAGAAGGGTTCCTGCCATCAGGGCCTCCAGCAGCGTGGGCTTAGGGAGTGGATAGTCTGACCACTGCCACGGGACACCCTCACTATACCTCTGATTCTACCTGGGTCTCGGTCCTATGTGCACCAAGAATCAACTTTCCAACAGAACTTCAGTAGGAGCCCTGAGCACCTGCTCTGAACCCAAATGCCACTCAAACGCCTCTTCTTCGGTAACTGCCCCCAAAAGAACTTCTGCTCTGGTCCTGTGAGCTTCCCCACACTCTCATTTCCAGACTGTCCTCAGCGTCCTCTCTCCTAACCACGCTTCCCAAGACTCCCCTGCCTCCCACCTTTTCTGCCCGGCAGTTGGAATCCCCCATAAAGCAAACCATTTCCATGATAGGCTCAGCCTCCTCCCTGAATCCTTCACTAGATCCTGACTCTTCTCTAAAACCACAGCTTCTCCTCGAGTTCTGCCATGTATTTTCCACCACAACCTGGCCGCTTGGGTTCAGATGTGAGGGCAGCCTCCCACTCTGCCCACCCCTAACCCGCAATGTCCCTTCCAGAACTGTCACTTAATCCTCATGTTAAAACAAAACAAAATAAAAACATTTCCTATCAGAAGGACCAAGCCTAAATCACTCTTCCCCCCTCTCAGCCCTGACATTTGTAGGCCTTCTATGCACTCATTCAAACCTTGTCCTCGTTCCAGGTCAATTCACTGTTTGGACTAGTGATAATATTCTTCAGGCTGGGCGTGGTGGCTCATGCCTGTAATCCTAGCACTTTGGGAGGCCGAGGCAGGAGGATTGCTCAAGGTCGAGAGTTTGAAACCAGCCTGAGCGAGACCCCGTCTCTACTAAAAATACAAATAAATTAATTGATCAACTAAAAATATATATAGAAAAAATTAGCCGGGCATGGTGGCGCATGCCTATAGTCCCAGCTACTCGGGAGGCTGAGGCAGGAGGATTGCTTGAGCCCAGGAGTTTGAGGTTACTGTGAGCTAGGCTGAGCCACGGCACTCTAGCCTGGGCAACAGAGTGAGACTCTTTCCCCCCCCAAAAAAAAGAAAAAAAAAGGAAACAAAAAAAGAG